TATTATATAATCCAGTGTCCTTTAAATAACGCATTAAAAATTGAAAGTTTTTATCCCCTGATTTATTCCCCAAAATGTTCATCAAATTAAGTTTTTCTTTATTTTCCTTGAGGACATCCATCAGTATCTTTCTTTCCTTTCCGTATCTTGGACACTATAACATGCTCTACATTTTCCTCCATATTTAATATTCACATTTTCCAGTTTCATGTCTCTCCATTCTCTTCAAACTGCTATTAAGAGCAGTATGGCCAAATCTAAGCCTTGAGATTATAGTTTCCTCACGTCTATTTCTTCCTGTTACTCTGTACTTACCAACAATTCTTTGAATGCTATAAAACCATCTGCCTGTTCTTTCTTCTTCCCAATATTTCTGCCATCTATTCTTCACATGTTGCTTGATTACACACTTCATTTCACTCTTACCATACTTCATCTGCATATCTATGTCTACTTTCTTTGTTGTTTTCTTTGCATATTTGTCTGCTAACTCATTTCCTTGTACTCCCACATGCGCTGGTATCCAACAGAAAGCTACATAAATTCCCATCATCTGGATCCTATATATTGTTTGAAGAATCTCAATCATTATATCTGCTCTGCCCTCTGAATGACATGTTTTAATTGTAATTAAAGATGAACTTGAATCAGAACATATGAGTGTCCGCATTGGCTTATTTTCCTCCACCCATTGCAATGCCAGTAAAATTGCAATCATTTCACCATTTGTGTAAATTGACAAATTATCTGTGATTCTTTTACTGACTTTGACATTAAATTCTGGGATACTAAATGCCACACCTACTTTGTCTTCCATATTTTTCGATGCATCAGAATATATTTGAACATAACCATAATAATTTTCATGAATGTACTTATGTGCTATTTGAACATTTGATTTGAACTTATCCTTATTTTCCTCACTTAATAATGTCATATCTACCGTAGGTTATTAAAGCAAATGGCTGCAATATAACAAAGAGTGAAAAATTTAAAGGGGTCTGAATACTTTCCGTACCCACTGTATACTTCTTAGAGCCATCCTCTCAGCCCCCCATTCTTTCCCCACTAAACATCTCGTAACATTCATTACCCTTTTACATTTATCAACCATTTTTGTATGTGTATTTTAAACGTGAGTTTTTCATCAAACCATATACCCAAAAATGTAAAACATGATACTCTTTCTATATCTGGACCATATAATTTCAATTTTACCTCTTTACTAATCCTACATTTTGAAAAGAATAAAGTTTTTGT